CATTAAATTGGTCATTGTAGGTTCACAAAATAGATTGGAACATGTTTAGTCGTGGATAACACATCAGAACCCGTTGCGCTATCAGTTGCACTCCTGAAGTAGAGAAGAGAGAACTAATATCTGATGAGAACCCAGCGTTATTTACATTTACCATAGGCGTAGTTGGATAAAATCATTGTAGATGATATTTTGCTGTGATTTACTTTTCTGTCTCCATTTTAATGCGTAGATCATCAGCACAGTTCTAGTTGCATCAGATAACAATGACACTTATACGTACGAAGGCCGTTTTGCGCTGGGAGCTAATACGCAGTGTGTGAGAAAAGTGTATCCATATCTCCCAGTCCGACCGGGGTATAGGATAAAAGCCGACATTTCCTCTGAAAAATTTGCATTACAAACCTTCTGTCTCTTGTCTCATTGTACACCAGTGTTTCTGAACCTGATTTCAGAATCTGTATCTGGGGATAATTGACGTGATCTTAACTGGTGAAACCTGGGTTCCTCAGTTTGAAGAGTTCAAATTGACGTTTCCCGACAATCGCTCTGGCTCGGTTCTGATAGCAGATACGTCAATTATAATTTATTGTTTCTTTCCCGAGTACAAGCTTCTCACCACAAAAACCACACCGCCGGAATCGATCGATAATAGTTGCTAATATGACTGTGCAAGACAAGCAATCTTCTCACCAAAAGCAATTTTGTAATGATCATCAAACTATAAACGTTCGAATGAAATTTTTATGGAGGCCAACGACCGATTTCGCAGTTCGTTTGTTTGTTCGTCACTTGTTCTCGTATCGTGCTCTCTCTTTGCTTGTATATCACAAGGAACGTTCGAGACGAGATCGTCCTAAAATGGTTATTACAGTGCTCTGGTAAGACACACTCATCTGGATACCATCGCGATGAATGTTCACAAAAGACGTTTTTCCTAATCGCTCCAAGCAAATGCCAATCAAGCAGTTTTGATCAAAGTAATGAAACAAAACAGCTCCTGACTAACAACTTTATCGAATAGAGAGGATGGAATCGTGGTAGTAATATTAGTATTGTTGGTAATACTAGTATTATGCCTAGGAATAATGCCTTTAATAAATATTGACAAGATTTAAATGATGAATATATCATCACAAGGAATTCCTAAAATACAGAATGTTTTATTCACTGCAAATCGAAAGTGATTCAAGTTTCACTGTAACGTGGATTTTAAGAAAAGTTTGCTCATTTATTACAATTACGAAAAACCAGTTGGTTTGTCGGAATGTAAACCCAATCGAGGACGCTCGTCACCTCGTTGCAGAGAGTACATTACACTTACTAGAGATTGTTCATACAGTTTAAAGCATACTCATCACAAATCTATATGACTGCTATCTGCATAAATGCAGTTCTTTTAAATTATATCAACTCTTCCCACTCTCTCAAACAAGTGATCCCATTTTCGTTGAAGATTCTATCCGATCCGTGGCAAAAAATCGTGAGAAATGAGCAGTTGTATATTCCGCTAGAAACGACATGATTCGCAATTCTATTTTGTACAAGATCCCCTAAGCATGAAATGTTAATTTGTGGCATACCATAATCTGGTTTTCTTAAAGAAAGGAATCCTAACAAGTGATGTTGGGTTAATATTGGGATACCTTCAGATTGGTCGATTGCATTCGGTTAATTAACTATCAATGTGACCTGTATTTCAAGTCTTTTTTAAAACAATTTGTCTTTTTCGATCAGCAACTTATGCTTGACACGTATTATGTTTGACATTCGAGCAATCAGTTTGTATCGTCGTTAGTTATTTTAAATCTATTGAGACCAATTTTCTCACAGATTCAAATTCAGCGTTTTTTCTCTCTAACTTTATTGACATCAAAATTGATGAAATATTTATGATAATTCATTCACTTTGTCACATCTGGGCAACCTTTTTTGTTTACAATCATTCTTCAGATTAGAAAGTTGCGCGCGAATTGCGTTCGTTATTTCACATGGGATTTCCTTATATATCTGGTTGAAATAAAAGAGCGCACACATTTTGGTTTTGGTCTTTCCCTAAACAATTCTACACCATCTGAATCCCCTGAGATTTGTAACTTGTCGTCAGATGAACATAGCGTGGGAGATGAATGGGCCTTTGAAAGACTTGTACCACACCCAAGTTGAGCAGGGTCCTCTAACAGTACCCATATATCCGCACGTGCGGTGATGCAGCTGGTCTTTCTTGAGGTCTAGACATTTTAAATTCCATAGCAGTCCATATATTCCCTGTGAGGATGAAACGCTATTTTGAGTTGCAGTTTGTATTTATCTTCATTGCTGTGTAATTATTAGGAAGTGCAACATTAGTTGCTGGGAAAATTTAATGTCAGAGAGGACCAGGGGGCCTTTGATAATGGAAACTTGACATGAATTTCTTCTCAGGTATGTTCACAATTTACACAATACAGTCCTAAAAGTTCAACGGACTTTATTAAAGATCTGCAAGATCATTTTAGTGTATCATTTTATTTCTTTCATATCATGAGCTAGTAATGTTCCCTTCCTATCAAAACATCATTCTGAAAGAAATATCGCCATTTTCAAATGCTGTTTGTAACAATGTTAAGAACCGAAAAACCCAAATAATATACACATTGATGGAATAGCTCATATTGATTAAAAATGCGCCAATACGAAAACTTTTTGCATTGAGTGACAAAACAGATTAATCATGCTGTTGTGTGTTGGTAGTGGGAACCATGTTTGAAAACATTTTGTGGCTCTCCATTTGAAGGTGTCAACTGCTTGATCGGAGACCAGCTATGGTTGCCAGACAGCTGCAGAGAGATTCAAAGTAACTCTGGAGACAACCGGGGAAGATAATGGGGCAACAGCAAAGTGGAAAAGAAAGACGTTGTTGGTATACAATTGAAATTCCGTCGATATGCTCAGCTCTAAATAAACTGAATCCTCAAATATGAAAACAAAACGTTTGGTGACGATTTTACCGTCAGTCCGAATAAACTATGACCACAAAGAACATTTTCTTATTGTGACATCCAGATGCTTTACACATGGGACATTTGAGTAACGAAAAGTTGACTTGGTAAAGAGCTTCCGGCATATTAGGATCTTGGTAGGCAGAAAATTGATTGAAATCACCAAAATGTATTTAAATGGAAGCAAAGATAAAATGAGTGGTTATGAATGTTTTTTCGGTAGCATGCTTGGATTAGCCCATTCGACTTTTAAGAGGCATCAGACACTTTTGATGTGTTTGCACTGAACAGCACTGAACTTCAAGATTGCCTGGGGTCTCCTAACAATCGAATAGGCTAATCCAAGGTTGCTAACAACTGATTCAGTCATTCGCACAAGGTGAAAACCGTCGACCGTGTAACCCAAGATTAGGGTGTGAAGTCGCAACCCGAATGTTTGCGGTTCGAGTCCTGACAGGGACAAAGAAATTACACACTGCTGACGAGTCCCAAACAGGACGAAACAGTTGTTCAGTGCTCTTTGACGTTTATCACAGTTATGAGTGTTGTTTGCAAGATCATCAGATCATCAGAAGGTCTCAGATGTTTAAACTGCGTGGCATCAGTGTAATCTCTGACTTAAGTAACAAATTGATGAGAAGGCTGCAGCCTGAAGATTACCAGATTCGTTCAACATGCATCTTGGAAATCTTTTAACGAAATTGCTAAGTTGAGTACATTTGGAAAAGCAGCCATCCGCCATTTAGTCAAGGCCGAGGCACAAAACGAGTATTCAGATTGTTTGTGAAGTAGATGTCGGGACACCGAGTGAAATGCAATGGAGGAAACAACAGCAAATAGAACGGGATACATATTTAGCAATAGAATTGATCATATACGGTGATTTGGCTTGTGCGGGATTTGATGTTGGTTGTTGCGGTTTGGAAAGTTGGATTACAGGTTGCCACGACTGATCTATTCCTTATGCCTGAGTCCAAAGAAAGTGATGGTGGTTTTCCGAAAATGCTCAGCTAGAACGTTTGCACTTGAAAATTAGAACATTTAGGTGTTTACGTGAAAAAAGGACAGAATCTGCCTCAAGGATTTGGTGATAAGCTTTCTGGTTGTTTGCGTAGGCGAATTGACTGCATATTTTACGACGAGTAGGAGGACGACTGTCCACTTTCATAGTAACTGTGGGTCCAGTGGTGCGAGAAGCTCATTGCTTTTTCGGTGGAATCAAGTCCTTTAAGGGTGAAAGAGAAACCGTCGAGGATGACTGAGTATCCGTTGATGAACGGATAAACTCCGCATTTAAACCGGCCGAATCGCTAAAAGCACAACTCTGCCGGGAATTCAAGACCGCAGAACGTTGGTTAAGCACAAAATGTGTCCAAAAAGTAACTTTGGATGACATTTTGTATCTGTTTTAATTGGCAAGAAGTAGTTGGGAATCAAGTAAGTGTTAAATATAGAAGTGAAATACGGTATGCTTATCTTTATATATAAGTTGTATGACCAACATGAAGCATTTATTCATTTTCCGTCAGTTAATTCCTATTATTTTTGGGTTGTTAACAATTCCAGACAACAAATGATGATGATGGTAATGATGATCATCAAATTTTACACAAGATGACAACAAATTTTTATTACTCATTTATATTTACGGTCAAAAAGACATGTGCATAACTTATCAGTCAACATTGCTTCTTTGATTTCATTTGAAGACTGCTGGTTTCACTAATCATTCTTCCTCCTAACCTAACAACTGAATGTTAATCCGTTTCCATTGTTACAACTGGAAGTCCTTGGGACTTTCATCCCATTGAACAGATTCGGAATGGCCATGCGGGCTGCTCTGGTTTTCTCACTAGTCATCCAATCAGCAGAAAGCCAAGTTTGTGCTTATCCAATTAAATTCTCTGGTCATAGCCAACCAATGAGTTTTGACTTCTCTACCCTATATCATAACAATGATCCCATGCAGTTCCCTGAAACCCACATCACTGTTGGTTGTTCGTATTCACTATATAAACACTAATGTCGGATTCCATACTTCTTTTAAATGTCGGTGGTGTACATTACGCGACAACGATGGAAACAATACAACATTATCCCAATTCTTATTTAAACCGATTGCTAATGAGTAAAGACCCGTTGAAGGACGAGAACGGCCGCCTGTTCATCGATCGTGATGGTAAACTTTTTCGCTACATTTTGGATTACTGTCGATACGGACGAGCGAGTTTGCCCACACATTTGAAAGAACTAAATCGACTGAAAGAGGAGGCCATATTTTACGGTTTGGATGAAATGATTTGTCAATTGGAGGATATGATTTCACTGGATCCTCGGTGGAACAGTCAGTTGTCTTCCTGTATAACAATCGGGTATCGTGGGACATTTGGTGCTTCCCGGGATGGAACAACCGATCTGCGATTTCGTAAACTGGCTCGCATTTTAGTGGCCGGACAGACTTTGGAATGCCGCCGCGTGTTTGGTGACGCGTTGAATGTGACCCGGGATCCAGATACAGGAAGTTCCTACTCCAGCCGCTTTTTCCTAAAACATACCATTTTGGAACAGGCGTTTGACTTGCTCTATCAAAACGGTTACGAACTGGTCACGTGTTGCGCTTCGGGAACCAGTGCAAGCAACGGAGATATCAAATTTGGGCAAGATGAGGAGGAAGCGCGTTGGCAACATTACAACGAATTTATTTTTATTCGAAAACGATGGCAAACGGACTAAAGGATTGAAAATTTTCGGATTTTGATGTCGCATAGATTGTTTACAGCACATATTAGTGCATTTGCTCAATCTGAAAGCGACACGAGAACAGAAATTTGTTTTTTGACGATCGTCAGTCTAGTCGTTGTGCTTGTTGCGTCCGACACGCGTATCTCATCACTAGTGAAAATGCGACCATTTAAGAGACAAAGTGAAAAACTACAAAATGGTTACTAATCCCACTTTATCTTCCATCAGTTGCAGAGCCCACTTCATTGCAAAAGGCTTAGCATTTATCCCTATCCTCATTTTGCAAACAAATTCTGCGATTTGTGATAAATTCCACACTGAAACCACACGCGTACTTTGTTTGTGAGTGCATTGATTCTGCTGACACAAGTTTTTCAGTCCTTCCAAATGTTGGCTTTCATCCGGATACCATTATTACCGAGTTTATTGAAGTAGGACATTTTTCACATTGAGCTGCGTTCTACTTATCATGAAATAAAAGTTATATTTTTATGTATTTCTTAGCGCTTTTGTGAATCATTGCATTTCATAATATTGAATTATTTAAATGTTTTAATTGAAATAGTAAAGGCTTTCATTCAGTTAGGCACTGCAACCAAACAATGGGCCACTGTTTATCAGTATTGTAGAGTTTTCTAAAAAGTGTTTTTTATTACATCGCCGATTACCTTGAACTTTTTGGCCCTTGATTAGAGAAAACAGGAGGATCTCAGTAAATAGTATCAGCACTTGGCAACCGTCGCAAAATGTGATATTCTTTGGTAAGTTCACTGTTGCTCACTGACTAAGATCGTCCAATTCACTGAATAAGAACAGAGTGGATGACTGGGAACTACCGCTTTGCTTGACATTTTGGACATTCGCTTGCGCGTGCAACGTTTTTAACTGGCTCGTACTGAGTGACAACCTGTAATCCAGAACAAAGTGTTCGACTTCGAATACCTCGATCGGATAGCCACATTCACGAAAACTTTGCCAGAAGTTGCTCACGCAAGCTCACATACATTGGGTATGGATGCAACGCTTCTATGTATGGTTTTACTTCTCTGCGAGGTGAACGATTCCTCAAATCAAATTTCAACTGTTCAATGTCCCATTTTTGTTTGGCAGTTTAAAGTGTTATGTTAAAATTATGAGTAGTTCAGTAGCCTCGGTGGGATTCGAATCCACGCATGAACGCCGACTACGCTTTGTACAGCGGACGCTCTATGAGCTGAGCTACGACGCCAAACCGACACGACTGATCTTTGAGATCCGGTGGAAGTACAGCGTAGTTTGCACCACTGACATCTTCTTAATAGAATACACTAAATTTTCATTGTTTTCGATCAGTCATCAGAATAATATGCGAGTCAGTTTGTTTCTCCCCTTAGTGGAGTTTGTAACACCAGCAGGTTTTTCTAACAGAATAACTCAATGTTTTGGCTGCAAATGAGTGCATATGAGTCTTCTTTATCTGAAATTTTTCGAACCTGTGGAAGTCGTTTGGTACGTCGCAGAACTCGGGGAAACCGTTATATCCAATGTAGATTGATTCTTCGCAGTAAATTCCTGAATAACCAACGTAAACACCATGATGGTGTCCACCAGGATTTAATTTCTCCAACTCTCCTCCTCACCTGCCACTGGGGTGGAACATTACTAGAATACCTTCCAGGAGTTTCGATACACAAAACTCAGACTACACAAACGGCAAATTTACTTGACGGTAAGTCATTATGTGAAAACATATGGCAAAAGACCAAGGTGTATTCAATGATACACTCATCAACCAAAGCCCATAGCAAATAGACTTGTTTAATTGTGCCACGGTAGTGGGAATGAGGGACAAGGGTAGAGGTGATTATGACTTCTGTATTGTGAACCCTACGTTTTAACACCTATGCGTTCGGCGCACGAGGACGTTCTTTTTTGGTGGTTGGCAGCCAAACCAGTCTGAATTTTGTTGGCAAACAGTTATTTCCAGCGATAGCTAGTGTCTAAAGTCACAGTGGTTTGCTTGGACGTAAGTTGGTAGTTAGAACATAATAATGGCCGATTTGGTGTGCAATCGGTGTTTACGTCACTGAAATGCCATCGTGGAACGCACCTTGATGGTTATCTTCACGGACCCAATAGAGCTATTTCACTCAACGGGGCGAAACTATCTTCATTCAAAGGGCTTTTCACAGGATGGCTGTACAAATAAATTTCATTATAAAGATGATGACCGATGCGTTCGTTAAACTGCATACGAATGTGCCAAATGCATTGAATATTCTTCAGTTGACCGGCGCTAAAGTAAAGTCCTAATTGCTTCCACATTTGTAACCCGTGTTTTGTGAAGTTGCTGATATTGTTAAACTTTTGGTAGGAGAATTTCGAGATACATGGTCCCAGAGATACCAGTAATTGCTGGTTTTCCAAACGATTGTAAGTTTCAAACATCTCTATTATATCTATTAACAGTTAAACCAATCGGATGAGATTAGATGTGATTAAAGTAGAAGGAACACTCCAGGGGTAACAAACACTCTGCTTCTGCTCGAGGCCGGGGGTGGGTGGGTTCTCGGTTTCTTAGCTGAGACGAAGACGGAAAGTGCTATGTTCACTTATTTTTTGGATGATTTAACTGATTTTGTCGAAGGTCAATGGTACATGGGGTTTGTCTGTCGCCTAATTTGTCAGTGTTATTGTCAGTGCTCGAAACGAAATGTCCCATGTTCTCGGGTGAACTTTTCTTCCCTGACTCGTTCAAACAAGTTATTGTTGAACAGTCGCTGAGAAACACAGACTGCAATAAAAAAACTGATTTAATTAATCTGCCGTAGAACAGACGGAGCGACAACATGTGATAACATGCTGATAACTTGGGCATCGCACAAAATAATTTTGGTCGTGAAATGGCCGGATAAAAACAAAGATAAAATCGTCCACGTTGCCAACCAGTTACTTGGAAATAATTGTTGTAATGTGTCTGGGGGCTGTTTGGTTGATAGGATAATAATGTTTTGTCTAGAAAAACTGGAGGGTCAAATGTAATAGCCTAAAAATGAGTAAACACGATCTGGGTTGCGCAAAACCCTGTTAAGTTCCCCAAAATTCGTACTTGAAGTAGCGAAGATTTAAAGATTTATGGCTTCGAGAAATTATCTGATTCAAAATAATTCCAGATTTTATAAGATAACTGTAAACGAGAGTCAACTAAGATTTTATTTACAAGGAGCTCTGTCTTAACAAATTGAGGCATATATTGTCCAAGTAGTACGACGTAATGGTGACATAAATCTTTTTCAAATTTGTGGTAGGTGCTTCATTGGATTGAATGATTTTTTAATATTTAGCATGGACCAAGGGAAATGTGATCTTAAAAGGTAAAAAACATTACTTATTGGTTTTGACCTTGTTGTATCTCATAACCAGTTTGAATCATTCAACCGAGCTGTGAAACAAATTCGGAATCGCAGTAATCCTATCGAATTTTCCTGCAAGTAGCTGAAAAGAATTACTTTGTCTATTCAAGAGAACGCACAGCTCATGTTATTGAGCTGATTACAAGCATCTAATGCGCATTATCTCAGCCTTAACACCCGGTTTTATGAATCAGTCGGAGTCATTCCAAAATTGACTACGCCTTATGTTTGAGGGCATTTAAGAATATATTCAACCGTATGATGTTAATCAACCAGGCATTGCGAATCCAGCCATTTCATTGGTGATAGAAACTAATGCCCCAATTGAGGAACGCATATATAGTGATAATCCGTGTACTTAACCCAACATTTATTTCAGAAGAACACCAAAGCGTATACCACCTATCTTGCTACGTAAAATTTCTTAACGTTTGTAGTGTTTTGTAGAGCAATGATCAAATTTGAAAAGTTTTCACAATTAGAAATATTGACGAAACGGGCAGTGATTTTAATGTATTTGTTGAAAACCCTCAAATTTTCAGGTTTACCGATGATTCTTAGTATCCGAAAGCATCTGGTTCATTACGAAGGATGAAAGAGACGAAAATGTAAAACGTTTGTCAAGCATGGACATCTTTATCAATTTTCTACGATTTACGCCGAATCTCGCACATGTGAAACAGCGAGTAGGTGGAGGATCACACCTTAGAATGAGATATTCCATACTGGAACAATCACCAGTTACATTTACAACGCCTTTAAGTATGAGTTATCAGAAAGCACTAAGAACGTCCTTATCATAAACAGCACAACAGAGAACGGAGTTTAAGTGAACTGTTAAACTGGAACAATAAATATATGCTCAGAACTTTAACAAAAAGGTGAAATAAACACACCGAATTATGATAACCGAAGGTTCTGTCCTTCAAAACTGTCTTGGTGTCTTTTTCTACGTGGAGGCCTTTGGGATCAAGTGAAAGGTAACTCTTCTATATTCGGCTTCTTCATTCATTCCGCCTGTCTCTCTCTATTGCTGCGAAATTATCATTCAAAGTCAAAGTCAAAGTTTTATTATGGGAATAACTTGCAAGCTTCAGTTTCTCTTGCCCCTATAGGATATTTACACAAATTAATCGTTATACTTCGTAAAACAAGTCAAAAAGAGTTCCGGGTGGAAATAATAGAGAATGTAGGCTTCAGTGAATTGCGTTTGCTTTTAGTGGTGTGCGAATGTGGGGTGTGCCATGGTTTCATCGAATCTCTGCTTGAAAGATCCAATAATGGGTGCAAGGGTGTTCCAAGAACTGCAAACTTTGACTGCAAAACGCTGGCGCCGGTATTCCGGTCGACACTTGGGAATCACTAACTTCAAACAGTATTCACTTACTTGTATTGTTCGATAACATGAGCAGCGATTGACACGGATGGTTTGGGTTCTGCAGTATTTGATACGCGTTCAATAACATGAGCAGCGATTGACACGGATGGTTTGGGTTCTGCAGTATTTGATACGTCAAAAGCAAGTCTCCCCGAATTCGGCGGTACTTAGCGGAATATAGTCCCAATGATCGTAATCTCTTCTCATATATCAGATAATGCAATCTATTGACCATTTTGGTGGCCATCCTTTGTGGACGCTCGATCATCTTGCGATCACGTTGCAACTATGGACTCCAAGCTTGGATNGTAGGGTCGAATGTACACTGATAGCAAACGTGGGAATAGTGCTGATTCAAAACGGCCAAAGACTCGCCGAAGTAAGCCGACATTCTTCACAGCAGCGAACGAAGCCTTAGTGCAATTGATGGACAGCTTAAATCCTCTTGAACAACAATACCTAATTCCTTTTCCTGTGCAGTGTGTGGTAACTGCTGATCCCAGGGGAAATACGAGAATTTTCTTTTGTGGTGTGGGGATAGGAGTTTGCATCTAGAAACATAAAATTCAATGTCGTTCTCCTTAGACCATTGATAAGCTGCGTTGTGTAATTCCTGAAGTGTAAGAGAGCCCTCGGGTTCTGCTACTGTGTTCCAGCTTTTGGCCCCGTCTGAAAACAGCATTGTTTCGGGGCCTAACACTTTCAGTAGATCATTTTTGAATGCGAGGAACAGACGGGGAGCAACACTTCAGGTGGCTTTGATAGACCCGGATGCTGAATCAGAAACACGAACTGATATGGTTCGTTGTTTGAGGAATGCTCTAATCCAACCAAACACGAAATCTCAAACACCGTGATTGTAGAGGTTGTGTACTACACATTTTGTAATGCACCCGATCAGATGCTTACGAGAAGTCGAGATAAATCACATCCACAACATTCCCTTCGTAGACTTTCAGGCAGACTTGCTGAATAGACTAGTTTTCATGTACGTGGTCCAACTGCTCCCGCCTGATGAAAGCACGACAGTATTTTTTCATCAAAATAAAAACAAAACTTTATAAGATATCAAACTGGAATTCCGAATGGAGTGTTGTCACTGATTTCGGTGTAACCCGATGACACTAACGGGGATCTTATATTCGATGGGTAGATCCTAAAAAAAAATTATTGTTTGCAGCGTCACCAATCTAGCCTCAAATAAAATATTTTCATGTATGTCATTGAAGTCTCTCCTCAACCGTTACAATGATCCGAAGATTCCTGGGCAAAATATTTTGCATCTAC